CGTGTTGATCACTGACATTTAGCACATTGCCCTTCCCTTCACCCAAATCAATACTTGTCTCTACCTATCTAATAGTGTTCCCTACCCTCCCTTCCGACCTCTGGTAACCAACGAAGAAAATTTCCTTCTGTATATAAACCTTTCCTTGACTTTTACAATAACAGACTAATACAATATTTGTCCTTCTATGATTAACTTATTTCACTCAGCATAATGTCCTCAAGTTCATCCACGTTATGTGGTGTTTTGCAGATTGTACATTATTCTTCAGGGTTGTATAGTATTCCATTGCCTGACCCTGCTTTTTCAAGCCTGGGTACAAATGCCTTGAAATCTGGGCCCCAGCAACAATGGAAGAGGCATTTGAGCTGGGACGTGACAGCCACAGTAATACTCAGAGAAGGGAAGAGGACTCAGCATCCCTGGCCCATAGCATCTGTGGATCCCATTGGGCAGACGTGGTTGTAAGGCCATGCCTAATACAAGAAGGTCCTGCTGGAGAGGAGTTGGAAGAGAGCCAGGTATCCGACCTGGGCCATGAGAAAACACAGACACCCGGCTCCTGGTGATGCCTGGAACCCACTAACACTACTGATGCGGCCCTGGCCGTCATGGACCGGACATGGTTTCTCCTGGTTCCCTGTGTGGATCCCTGCCATAAGCACCGAGCGTATAAACCCACACCCCACCCCACCCCACTTCCTTGCAGGTACCTCTGCCTGGTGACTTCATCGGTTCACTTGTCCCGCGTGAGGTTTCTGGCGTGAGGTTGGGAGTGAAGACATCCACGTGTTGCCAGAGGTCCCGGGACCTGAGTGAGGGTCCTCGCCTTCTGCTGATAAAGACCTGAACGTGAGAGGCAGAGTGTGCACACGAACCAAAGTTATTAAAGGTGAAAGGAAAGAGTGTGTGAGGGAGAGACGGAGAGGGCTTCCCCCATGCTGGCCCGCAGTCTCTCCTTGAACAAAGGACTTCCTAAGGTTTATAAAGGGTTTTGTTGTTGTTAAGTGCTGTCGAGTCGTTTCCAACTCATAGCGACCCTATGCACAGCAGAACGAAACACTGCCCAATCCCGCGCCAGCCCCCAATCCCTGCTATACTTGAGCCCATCATCGCAGCCACCGTATCAATCCATCTCCTTGAAGGCCTCCCCCTCTTTTGTCGACCCTCCACCCTACCAAGCATGACATCCTTCTCCAGGAAATGGACCCTTCTGACAACATAACCAAAATAGGCGAGATGAAGTCTGGCCATTCTTGCTTCCAAGGAGCATTCTGGCTGCACTTCCTCCAGGACAGATCTGTTAGTTCTTTTAGCAGTCCATGGTACTTTCAGCATTCTCCGCCAGCACCACAACTAAAAAGCATCAACTCGTCTTCGGTCTTCCTTATTCATTTTAGGTTTTAGGTGGGGGAAAAGACATCATCCTTATTCATTAGATGGGTGAGGGTTTCCAGGAAAAAGGAGGGGTTATGAAAATGAGATGTGTGTACAGGGAGTAGCCAAGAGTCCACCACAAAGGCTGTCAGATCAGAAACGGAACCCGTCATGAAGGCTGCTGGGATGCCTCGCAGGACTTACTCCGGGACGTTGCATCTGTGGGATGTCTCCAGACCCTGGTTCGCGCCCCAGTGAGGGACTCCTGCTCCTGACTGCTCTGGTGGAAGGTCGTTCGTCGGTCACATTGACCTTTAGTGCCGTGCTCCACACCTGGTGAGGAACCTGAAAGACAGCTCAGAAGGTTTCTCAGTATTTTGCAACTGGTCAAGCATGAAGGGCTTTGAAACATGACTCCTTAATCTTGGCTAGGGGCCTAGCTCTTAGCTGCAGGCGGCCCTCTGGCACTAGCAGCCATGTCATGTGGTGGTCCGCACTTCGGCTTAGATGCCATGAATCCTGAGTCAGCAGCAGCTTGGTCCCGCTTCCCTCTCCCCCATGGTCAAGCCCCTCCCTCCTCAGATGATGTAAATTTCCTTATAAACCTAAACGTGTTAATGTAAGTTTCCTGCTAAAGCAGATCTGGTGTATTGGGCTCTCTGTGCCTCTGGGTTGGGAATCTGCCCTGGGCCCAACGGAGCCGCCCCCACTGCTGACCTATACCCTCTGGAACAGGGCAGGTTCCTTGACTGGCTGTCTGCTTTTCGGGGGGCCGTACTCGGTCTATGTTTTCTAGTGACCTCTGGCCCTCCTCCCTGGGGCTTCTTCCTTGTAGGTCTCCACGCCCACACGGGAAGCGGCGGTGGGGATGGGGGCCTTCTTTGCAAATGTATAGCTCGTTTTCTAGTTGAAGTGGGGCCCAGAGGTGGCTTTGCAGTTCAAACAGCCAAAGGCTTCTTAGTCTTCAGTTTGTGATTCCCTGGGTGATACAATTGCGTCACATACAGTAGGCAGCCCCACATGGGATAATAATAATCTCACAACCTGGTTTGCTGCTGCTTTCCCACACCTCCGTACCGAATGGCAGCTGTTTTGCAGCTATTTGAAAAAGCAGTCAGGGTAGGATGTTAACCTGATCCGATCTTTGTCATAAAACAGAATCTTTGATCCCTCATTACTGCAAACATTTCTGTCTTACCTCTTCTCTTTGGGGGTCTAGAAATAAGTAATACAGCCCTGATGGTTCAGTGATTAAAGTCCTCGGCTGCTAACTGAAAGGTCAGCAAGTGGAACCCACCAGCTTCTCCTTGGGGGAATTATGAGGTAGGTGGCTTCCATAAAGACTGACAGCCTTGGAAACCCTATGGGCAGTTCCACTCTGCCCTCTAGGGGCGCTGTGGGTCAGAATCGACTTCACGGCGGTGGGTGTGGTTTAGTTTTACTAAACTAGGGTAGGTAAGCACTTGGTGTGCTCTGGCATAATAAGGACCTACAGACTTTCAGTCCCCATTTGTTTACATGCCTCCCACTGCAGGACCCCTGAACTCATGCACGTGTTTTAGTGTTTTTCCAATGTTGCCCCCAAGTCCAGAGTTTCATTTGTTGTTGCAGATAGAAGTGAGTCCCCAATTTTGGCACCTTAACAAAAGATTTCTTCCTTTCTCGGGACACCATCCAATTAGGTTTCAGCAGTGAAATTATTTAAAAATAAACACAAAAAGAAAATACTTTTTCTATCTGACGGAGGAGCTAGAGAATAAATCCACCCAAATCCCCTCCCATTGAGTCGATTCTGACCCACAGCGCCCCTAGAGGACAGAGTGGTACTGCACCATAGAGTCTCCCAGGCTGTCAATCTTCACAGAAGCAAAGCCCAAACCACACCCACCACCATGCAGTGGATGCTGACCCACAGCACCCCTAGAGGACAGTGGAACTGCCCCACAGGGTCTCCAAGGCTGTCACTCTTCACAGAAGCAAAGCCCAAACCACACCCACTGCCCTGGAGTCCATTCTGACCCACAGCACCCCTAGAGGACAGAGTGGAACTGCCCACAGGGT